GTGAGAACCCTTTCATTTCATGCTTTATAAAAAGCTCTTTTAAATTACAGCCTAAATACTCCATAAGGATACCTTTCGCTCCAGATACGGTAAATATATCAATGTAGTTCACAATATAGGAAACCGGGCTTGATTTTAAGTTCATTTTGACAAGTGATAACATTTCAACTTCATTGTGAAAACCTGAATCATATTTCCCGCCTTGTTTGTAAGCCTTAACCGCGAGGTTTCGTCCATGTTTATTACGCATTTGAAAACATTTTGAGAAAGTTCCTTCGCCACATAACTTGACTGTAGTCCATATTTCGCTATTGTATGTGAATCGACTGGGAAATATCGTTTCATTTGGCGTTTGCAAGCTCATAGAAATCGCCATGATGAATCGTCGTCGCCCTCGTCTGTGCCCTCGTGCAAACCAAAATGACATGACGTCATTTTCTTCCGACAGAATATCTTCGGTTTCGCATCGGTACATCGCCGTCAAATATTCTAACACCTCAAAAGGTATCTTTAATTAAAATAGGGAACGGCGGAACGGGAATGGGAGAATGCGGGAATGCGAGAATATAGGTTAATAAATTTTTCTTGAAATTTAGAAATTTCAAGAAATGCCAAAGAAAGATTTAAATACGTGTTGAAAGGAAATCCACTGTATTGCAATTATTTAGATGAAAGTTTAGGCGTGCACGGACTCCTTATTAATAAAGTAAATATAATTATATATATATATATATATATATATATATATATATATATATATATATATATATATATATATATATATATATATATATATATATATATATATATATATATATATATATATATTAATATTAATAGCAAATAATTTAACTGTCTATTCCAATATTTAGCATATTTACAATTATTGTACATATATAAGACATAAAAAGCATGCATAAAGCATCAATAAAACATCGATAAAACTTCATGAACTGTTGACTGTCGTTTGAAGAGTAGATTTTCAAATTTAATATTAGTTTTTGACGTTACTTTTTAGTAATATTTAAATTTAAATTTAGTTCAAGAACACCTTGAATAATATTGTAATAATCTTACAGAATTACATACCCCTTTTGCAAATGCACAGTAATAAAACACCTAAACTGATATAGATATTTTAATATACCGTTTTATATTATTACAACACTACGAATAGTGCTTCTACCGTAGTTCGACTATTTTCTTCTTGTTTTCGAAGTACTCTAGAATCTTTTGCTGTTCACGTGTTTGTATTTCGTTTTAATAGTATAGGCGTAGGACGTTTTAATCATATTTTCATCGCGTCATCGCCCGTAAAGGCCGTAATAAAAGTCGTTTTTGAAAACGAAGTGGCTATTCGTTTAACATCGGTTTGCTATTTGTTGAATTTGTACGGCAACTTGTTACTTAAAAATTTAAATTTTTACAAAATAAACTGACCATAACCACCAACCCTTCTCTCACCCTAACCATGGATAATAAAATAAATGGATATGAAACTTCTGACGTCATTGACTGCATCCTTGTTGAAAAACGTGACGTCACGCGTATTGCGAATATTACCAAAGTTCTCGGCATATTTGTTGTTTTGCTATATTTTCCACTTTAAAAGGGTGATCTTGAAGCGTAAACTGGTCTAATTGTTTTAAAAACATGCCTAAGCCACGACAAAGTGTTCAAGGTAAATGTTTTTCGTCTTTGTTTTGTATTTTTTTACATTTGTAGCTACGAAATTGGCGTCACAAATTTTAACGAAATTTGTGATGTATTTTTCACTGTGTATAGTGCTTGAAATACTTGCTAGAATTGACTTGGAATACTTAGAGTTTTCATCGTAGAATGGCGTGGTTATATGTATTTGCTCTTTGACTAAAATGTTTAGCTGTATTATTGCTAAACATGCCGTTTTTGAGAGTTTGGTTTTCAACTAGGTTGGGACATCCAACCACGCCATCAGCCCAAGCATTGAAAACATTAGGTCACGTCAGCTAGTTTCCTATCCATTTATTTTATTATCCATGATTAAACTAGGCAGTGCTGTAACAGGCCGAGTCATTGACTCAGACTGGAGTTACTAACACGAGTCCCGATACAAAAAATATCATGACTATGAATTAACATTCATTCCTATTACTACAATATTACTTCGAAGACATCGAATTTTTCCAGTAAATAAACCAAACTATCATATGTTAATATACTGTACTTTAAAGTAAACAACATGTATTAATACGTTTAAATTTCGCATTTAGCAATTCTTTAACAGCTCATAACCAACAGAAATGTATTCACTGACCTTCAAATTACAACCAGCAGCCGTGGTTTGTAATTTGAATCGTTCGTTTGCGAAAAATAGTCGATTTCAAACCTCTCAACTCTCACGCATTCGGCGTGAGTCTCACGCATATAGCAGTTTCAAATCTCACGCATATAGCAGTTTCATAGTATTTTTCAATAAATAAATATAATATTGTATTCTTAAATGCAAATTATTAATCATTATGCGGATCGCGAATCGAACAAATAATCGCGTGTTATTGTTCCTGCATATACGGCCCGACATTTTGGCTTTTGCCAAATACGGCGGTCAAGAGGCAGAATCAGTCGGAGCAGAATTCTATATGTAAATTACTAAAGGCAAATTAAAGCTCATTACTGTATGTCACAGAAATACAGTTGTTGTAACTTTGTAACTAAGGTGCCTTGTCTAAAAAGGAAGTTATGAAACAATGTATTTCATTAAAAAACACCAACTCTCATAATGTACGAAATGCCATTTCAGACCCCCGGACTTTTACAAAGGTGTCATCCACATCCCAATTAATCTCACTCTTAACTTGTCTGCAAAGTTGAGAGGTCTTCGATTTATTCAGCCAAATGGCCATTTTGCAATACAAATCTCTAATAAATTGACTGGCTTTACTGGCTGCGAGTAATTAGAGCGGGCAATTTCCGGTATGCGCGACTAGGCGACATGCGCGGCTTCAAAAACTTCAAAGGTTCCGACGCGAGTTGCCCTTCTATTCATTTCTTATTCTGTCTTGAGTCCTTTCAGTTCAATTTTATACAGCAATAATTTTGTTTGCACTCGTGGGACTTTATCCTATGCATATATACGCATGTGCAGAACACATCATATTAAAGTTCTATTCCCGTGCAGGGACGTCGCGAAGCCATCAACATTGGGGGGGAGGGGCGGTGTCGTCATGTTTTGACCAACAACTCAAAGAGTTTGACCAAGTCGTACAATTTTTTTCCGAAAACGTTGTCGACGGGGGGGAGGAGGTAAAAATATTTTCCGACTAATATAAACATAGTTAAAAGCATAGTCAAAATCATTTTCCGCACTAACATAGGCATATTCAAAATTTTTCGACCAAAATAACCATGCTCCCAATTTTTTCATCGCAAACATTAGAAAATATTTAACTTTGACCTACTTCGATCTTTTATCCCAAACGTTTACCAAATTTTTTCGAGTTTTACCTTCAATTTTAAGCAAATATCAGTTTCATTTTGACCAAATTTGGGCAAATATCAGTACCATTTTGACCAACTTTGACCAACGTTGGAATTATTGGTGGAGATTTTAATTTAGGGCGATTAATTGAAATTGAAATCTGCTCTATCACGATGCATTTCAGTGCATCATTGTCATACGGTCCTGACGAGCAGCAACGCGTAATCTTCTAGCCGAAAATAATTACTTCTGATTCGGGTCAGTAGTTATAATAGATAATTACTTCGGTCAACCGACATTATTGGATATATTGCAGCCTGCTGACGCCGAAGGCCGAAACTGGCTGCAATATATCCAATAATGCCGTCGGCCTCAGTCAATATCTAATAAATAATGACATTCTAAAAATCGTAAATATAGTTTTCTATAGTGGGGCATTTGACCCCCCCCTGCCCCCCTACCCGCCCGCCATGTACGGCCCTGATTTAAAACTAAATATTGGAACTTTCCGTGTTTATCATATTGCACCCTGCAAGCCTTGTTGGCCCACCTTTTGTCACTTCACCCTCCTTTGGAAGCCTCCCATTGACCAAATAAAATACTTTTCCAAACTATAGCTTGCTTTGTTCTTCAAAATTTTAACAAGAAAAATACATGCATGCAGAAACTCTCGCCTTACTGACAAAACCATTATATTTTCCGAACATGAAGTATTTAAAGTTGTTGTCATGGTAACACGATAACTTCATGAAGAATATTTGTATAATTGAAAGATCCCCTAGAAATATCACTTTTAATTGAAAAATAGTATCAATTTCCTGAACATGTACATGTTCGGTATGTTATTAAGAACCCGTTAACCTTTACTGAGATTAACTTTAAGTTTTTTGAAAACTAGAATAACCAAGACCAATCCAAGGATCTGTGATCCTGATACAATAACTGCAAATATTTTTTGATGTGTAAATAGACTGCTACCAACTAATGGCCCTGTAAGTAAAGCCAGCCTATTCAATACAGTCATTATGGCTTGCACCTTGCCTTGATTGTCTGGATTAGTGTGCTTCGAGACTAAAGAACGATTAACTGCACTAATAGCAGTTGATGACATCCCATCCAAGGCAACTGTTACCAACAAGCTATAATAAGCTCTAACAGACATCGGGGAAGAGGACGCCAGCAGAATAACACCCACGGATGAAAGGGTACCGAAAATAGCGGACGTCAAAAGGACGAATCGATCTGAAATTTTTGCTGACAGAATGAAGAAAATAATTGAACAAATGGTAATTTCTACACCCCAGATTGTAAATAGAAAAGTGACGTTGTCTTCACTCCAGTGTAACATGTGCTCAGCAACCAGGGGAGAGATGGCTTGAAGAGATGTATGGAGCATGAAAAGGAAAATTGTCGTGTATACCACTATAATCACGGGAAATTTGGCAAACATATCTATTAGAGCATCTCGGAATGACCCACTGCTGGATTTCGTTGAGCCGTCTGGGAATACACTTTTGTCGTCTTTTGCTATTTCCTCGGTTTAGACAACGTCGTTATTTGTGAACGGAGATGACGTCATATCACCGTGTTTGTCCTCTGAGCTTTCCATGCTATACGCTTCTCGGAGTTGCTCTTTTTTGGAAAACCGTTCTTCACTTAGACTGTCTGAAACTGGTTCATACCCTCTTTCTTTTCTCATCTCGTCTGAGAGATCATAGACAAATACAAACATGATACCAGTAGCTAGTGTCCACATTAAAGCCATGAAAAATCCCGGGGATGTGCGGAAATCAATGTGCCAGTTACCGATGTAGAAATCAAACTCTTTTAGGAAGACGTTTAATGCTGGTCCTAAGACAACTCCCAAAAAGAAGCTTACTTTTAGCAGTGCAAAGTATCGAGTACGTTCTTCCTCAGTTGTGATTCTGGCTAGTTCTGCCCAAATAGCTGACGCATATCCTTCTCCAAATCCTGCTACCATGCGTCCGAGCAGAGGCAAGTACATGTTGAAATGAAGCGAGTATATTGTATTACCAATAATCTGAAAAATAATTTACGTGTGCTAAGTTGACATTCTTTGGCCGCAGGTGATATATATATATATATATATATATATAGCTTTAGCTTTTGGTTTACGAAACACAAACAGTGCTCAATACCATATAGATAGAGCGTAATATAGTTTTTCGTTTTACCTCACCTGATGATTTCTACACGGATGAAACAGACTGTTGTGGTTTTTTGAGGTAAAACGAAAAATTATATATATATATATATATGCTTTCATTAGAAACTGATGGTGGGCTACGGTTGCCTTCCTATATATAGCGCTGGTTACTCCGATCTCTCGCTCCTTTCTTTAGCGAGCCCCCAAAATTGCCCATGTTCTAATTTTTTATGGAAGAAAAAGCCCTGAAATATTAATAGAAGACCAAAAAGCTTTCTCCATGTGTATTGTTACGGTAGAAATCCGATTGTATTGGATTTGAAAATTTCTTCGAAATAAAGTAATGGTTACCTCAACCAGATTTTAGAAATCCGATTGGATCGGATTAGAGCTGGATTTGAACATACTCTATAGGCAGTAAGATAAAGCTTACCTCAGCTAGATTCCAAACAAATCCAGAAAACCGAAGATTCATATTTCCGTCTGCGAGACGACCAACCAAGATGGCGGAAGCAATGCCAACTGTGTAATAAGCAGACAATACCAGCCCAAGATACCAATAGTCAGCGTGAAACATTTGTAAATATCGCCATATAGAGGGAAATATCACTGCCTGGTCTGTTCCCGCAAAGAACATTCGCACGCAAAATGCGAAAACTGTTAAACATCGCTTTTGAGAAAATGTTAGATTCTTCATGTTTTACACTGATTATCTGCCAATGAAAATGAAGAAAAACGCTCTAAGTTATTTGGTTTTATTGTCTATTGAAATGCTAATGACGCGGTATAGTTTAAAACGTGCGTCTAATATACGTTTGTGTAATTGAAAAAACTTTTAATATACTATATAATTAGAAAACTTTTAATATACTATATAATATATAATCTATATATATAAATATATATATATATATATATATAAATATATATATATATATATATATACGACAAGAACGCCATTCAACCTAATACGCATGATCTCTGCATGTCACAGATTTAAATCAGCGCAAAGGCCTATAGGCAATTGTGCCCCAAGCTCACTACCAGCAACTGCGGACAGCTGTTTCGCCCTTTTGGGGCTCGTCAGCGCAGTGTAGCTGATAGTGAGCTTTTCATCCGAAAAGTATTTGTACAACCAACAATGAGACGATGGATGTGGGACGCATGAATTATTATATACGACAAGAACGCCCTTCAACCTAATACGCATGATCTCTGCATGTCACAGATTTAAATCAGCGCAAAGGCCTATAGGCAATTGTGCCCCAAGCTCACTACCAGCAACTGCGGACAGCTGTTTCGCCCTTTTGGGGCTCGTCAGCGCAGTGTAGCTGATAGTGAGCTTTTCATCCGAAAAGTATTTATACAACCAACAATGAGATGATGGATAATTGCCTATAGGCCTTTGCGCTGATTTAAATCTGTGACATGCAGAGATCATGCGTATTAGGTTGAATGGCGTTCTTGTCGTATATATAATTTATGTGTCCCACATCCATCATCTCATTATTGTTGGTTATACATATTATATATATATATATATATATATATATATATATATATATATATATATATATATATATATATATATATATATATATATATATATATATATATATATATATATATATATATAATTTCGCTTACCTCAAAATTGCGCAACAGTCTGTTTCATCAGTAACCACAACCAAAATGTTACTGATGAAACAGACTGTTGCGGAATTTTGGGAACATGTTACTAAATGTTACTAAATGTTACTGATGAAACAGACTGTTGCGGAAATTTGGGAACATCAGTAACCAAAACCAAAAGGTTACTGATGAAACAGACTGTTGCGGAATTTTGAGGCAAGCGAAATTTTACATACTGAAGATCGTCTTGAATAAGGCGTGAAACTTGAGTAGCAATAATTAATTTTAAGATATAAATATATATATATATATATATATATATATATATATATATATATATATATATATATATATATATATATATATATATATATATATATATATATATAAGTTACTTTCATCCTGCTGATCAGCACTACACTGATGAGGCCGAAACGGTACCGTCTGTAGTTAGATATCGCTCTATGGCCTTTAGGTATAAATATATAACTATACATGTTGTAGTTTCAAAGTCGTCATATAAATATTTGGAGATGCAGCACCTCCATTAGCTACACAGTGCTGATGAGCCCCAAAAGGGCGAAACAGCTGTCCACAGTTGCTAATGTGAGCAGGACACACTAAAGTCATAGTCCGTTCATGGCTCTTTACGCTGCTTTGAAACTACGACATGTAGTACGCATGCGTATTCGAGATATGACTTACTTTGTCACTTTTATAATATTTTGTGTGTCCCACATACGCATCCTACTTTGTCGTCATATAAATATTTGGAGATGCAGCTCCTCCATTAGCTACACTGTGCTGATGAGCCTCAAAAGGGCGAAACAGCTGTCCACAGTTGCTAATGTGAGCAGGACACACTAAAGTCATAGTCCGTTCATGGCTCTTTACCCTGCTTTGAAACTACGACATGTAGTACGCATGCGTATTCGAGATATGACTTGCTATATATATATATATATATATATATATATATATATATATATATATATATATATATATATATATATATATATATATATATATATATATATATATATATATATATATATATATGTATATATTTATATATATATATATATAT